AAATAAAGGCACAGAAGAGTCTTTACAAGGCGAGAAAGAACAAACGAAGAAGGAATCCAGTGAGGGATTTGGTGCTAATAAGGATGATGTTAAAGAAGATGACGATGATGTGGTGAAAAGATTAGAAAAGTTGAGATTGATTGGTGAAGAACCTGATTTATCAGAGGAATTACTGAGTATTAATGATCAATTACAGGAGGATGAGGTAAATTTTATACGGTTTTCGTTAATTAAGTTTGGTTGGTATTTACGTAATGGTTAATTGATTAATCTTGCAAACTGGTTTGTGATTATCCTTTAAGGGTTATAGACTGATCCCACTTGATGTAGGATTATTGCCACAATGTCACGATCTTTATTGCTAAGATTAATGCTTGTTATAATCCAAAATGGTTTCTTGTTAATAAACTCTGAGCCCATTAAGCATCATCTGAACTAATATTCATAAAGTATCGAGCAATAACATCTGGGTGTTCTTATTTGTTTCTTTCATTTGCAATCGAAATCCTTCATCATCATATCAATTAGAGTCATATTTCTGTAATCTATCAGTTGAAATCGTTCACTAATTCAATTAATCAAGATTCTGGTTTAAACCAGAGCATTCCTTAATAAACAAAAAAGCATAGCATTTATGATTTTGGTAAAATCAGAAATATACTTTCATCATATTTTGGAATCTAAACCATAAAACATGTTATTCACACTTTATAACTTGTGATTCAAAAATTGTATATTCAAACCCAACTTTTCTATGTCAATTATCAAACTGAAGATACTGGCTATGGAATCTATCTATGGAGAGAACATATTCATCCTTGACAAGCAAAGTGGGCTGCGATCTTTTCAGGTGCCAATAACAATTTTGCAAAAATTCATTCAAATTTACAAGAAATATATATGAAACTAACTACATATTCATGTGTTCTTATGCAGATTCATGTCTACATTGAAACTCCAGAAGAACTAACAATCTCCACAAAACTGAATTCCAACAATTCAGAAGATTTTTCTTACTCATTTGAAGTCCAATATCTTCCCCCAATTGTTTTAACATGCTTATTACCCAAATCATACCCTACACATCTCCCTCCATATTTCACAATCTCCACACAATGGTTAAACTCTTCAAAAATTTCCAGTTTGTGTTCAATTTTGGATTCAATATGGAAAGAACAAGAAGGGCAAGAAGTTATCTACTCATGGGCTGAATGGTTGCATAATTCGGCTCTTTTTCATCTTGGTTTCAACAAAGAAATCCTTCTTGGCCCTTATGGTGTCAAAAACAACAATGATCCAAGGGCAATTTCGGGATGTGTCTCTCCAGATGTCGATATTCCTTCATTGAAGAGTTACAATGATAATCAAAGAGTTGAAGATTTTCGTAAAAATTTTCATGAATGTTGCATTTGCTTTAGTGAATTTTCTGGTAAGTTTTGATTTTCAAGTTACATTACATTTACACCATAGTTAAAATTCATAGTATATATCAAACTTTGTTTCTTGATTTCTCATAGGTACCGAGTTTATAAGATTGCCATGTCAGCATTTCTTTTGTGAAAAATGCATGAAGACATATGCAAACATTCATATACAAGAAGGCACAGTAACCAAACTTTCTTGCCCTACTACAAAATGTGGAGGGATGATTCCACCTGGACTTTTAAAGCGTTTACTTGGTGATGAACAATTTGAAAAATGGGAATCACTTACATTACAAAAAACACTCGAATCAATGTCTGATGTGGTCTATTGTCCAAGATGTGAAACACCTTGCATAGAAGATGAAGATCAACATGCTCAATGTTCAAAATGCTTCTTTAGCTTTTGCACTCTTTGTAGGGACAAACGCCATGTTGGCATCACGTGTCTTACACCCGATATGAAGCTCCGAATCCTGCAGGTAAATTTTTTAATGATTTAGAATCAAAATTGAAATTTTTTTAATAAGAAAATTCTGTTATGTTATGATGCAGGAGAGACAAAGCTCGAGTCAAATGAAAGCTGATCAAAGGAAACGTGAACAGGAAATGATTGAGGAGCTCATGAGTGTGAAGGAAATACTTCGTGATGCAAAACAATGTCCGGGGTGTAAAATGGCAATTTCAAAAACCGAAGGGTGTAATAAAATGGTGTGTCAAAATTGTGGCAAGTATTTTTGTTATCGGTGTAATAAGGCCATTGATGGATATGATCATTTCAGGTTCTCTCTCTCTCTCTCTCTCTCTCTCTCTCTCTCTCTCTCTCTCATAAATATAAATGGAATTGAACAAATTGATGTAGGGGTGGAGCTTGTGAGCTTTTCCCTCAAGAAGAAATTAGACAATGGGAAGAACAGATGAATCCACGACAAGTGATGGGGCAGATTCAAGCTGAACTTTTTGGTGATCGTGGACATTCTTGCCCTCAATGTGGTCAGATTAATGGGAAGGTTGGGAATAATAATCACATATTTTGTTGGTCATGCCAAGGGCATTACTGTTATTTGTGCAGAAAGGTGGTTAGACGCAGCTCACAACACTTTGGGCCAAAGGGTTGCAAACAACATACAGTCGGATAGCATATTATTTTCTCAAATAATAAATTGGTCATTATCATCTGTTGTGTGTGTTTTTCTGAAAATTTTGTCTGTTAAGTCTTTGAGTCTATTCTTTTATACGGATTTTGACAAAAAAAAAAAAGTTTATACCATATGCATAATAATAAAAATCAAACATATTTGTGAGTGTAAATTGTAAATGTAATATACTTTGGGTTCCATTTGTTTGTCAAATCATGTTTTGATTTCTTGACTTGTTGATATTTATAACCTCGATGATGTTTCTTGCACAATGTTAATAAATACATAAAAACAGTTCACCATTCATCTTAACGATTAAGTCCAAAACCGTATATAAATAAATAAATAAATATCCACTTCACTCTACTAAAACAATCATTCTTTACCTCCTCCAAAAACATACAACCCATATTAACGATTAAGATTACCTTTTGTTGATTTCTAGGAATCATTAACATTGTCTTCAACAACCTCAGGCTTCACAAAAAACTCAATATAAGCAATACGACTAGGCTGCTGATACCCACTAGAATCCACATGTGAGTGAGAACCAGAAGGCCTTACAACAGACACCAAATGTTGAACTTTTAACATCCCTCCTCTCCCAATAGTCAACTTACTTCCTCTATTATCTTTAATCACACTACTCGGTATGTTAGAAGTTGTTGCACGAAGAAACTTGTACTTGTACCTACAATGTCAAAAACATTACAAGACACTGATAAACTGATGATAGTGACAATGACAGTGACAAGTGACAGTAACAGAAAGAAAGAAATACATGCCTGTGAGAAACAATTTGATCACAGTTGAATGCAACAAGGAGATCTGTGTTTGCATAATACATGAAATCTATCTGTAAGTCTCCATGGCCTTCGCCTTTAAAAGTAACTGATGGAGGTGTTGGTTGCAGGGTGATTTGGATGCTTGATCCGGGCCATTCAAGATCGTCAATGGCTTCCTTCAATGCTGATGACTTCAAAGTTCAAACCAGATATGTAGTTTTTTAAAAAGTTTAACATGAATCAATACTACAAATGATTTGCTAGAGAGAGAAATTAGGTTGTTACTTTAACAGTAAAACTGATGGGAGTGCTTCCAACAGGTTCAAAATTGTAGTCCCATGAAATTGTGTCAGGGATTCTAGTTCGGATTTCAGCATAAGTGCAAGCACTTAACGAATCAGTAGATCTAAGAAAAGAAGATTTTTTAAATCAAAGATTACCCACAGATCCATCAAAGAAAAGAAAAAAGGAGTTTCAGAAGTACTTGAGAAGAAGCTGCATATCAGGGCCTGGATATTGGAATTCAATTGTGCTCGAGTGTCCAGGAATGCAAAATGTGTTGAGGCAATCCACGAATAACCCCAAGCTTACTCCAAACCTAGGTCGCCCGTTTGCACTGTAGTCGTAACGAACAAAAAGCTACAATGGAAGATCAAGAAGCAGATGTTATTTTTAAGGTTAAAAACCATATGGATAAGTGTTAGGGTTTTTCAGTTTGAATTTATTTGTGTTATAATACCTCTCGTTGTAGATAAACCTTCGCTTGAAGACATCCAGTATCCTCAACAATCAATACGATTCCATGTTCGCTTAATTCCAGAACTGCATCCTAATATATCAGAAAAAGCTAGCTATTAGCACAAACCCCCATATAAAAACCCTAGATTTGATGATTAAACTGAATATGACTAAACCCTAGGTTTCTATTAAAAATTCTTGTTGCAAATTTATGAGAAGCGAAACGAACCTGATAGCGCTTCCATCGTACTGAGGTGAGGGCATCAACCATGCCTTGAACATTATCGAGTTCACAAACCAGATCCGGCGACTCTGGCTCTACCACCGTCGAACTCATCACTTCCCGCCAAAATCATTTTCTTTCCGGTTTCAATAAAAATATATGATCACCTTTCAATTTTCATTTATGCCCATAGAGTTTAGAATTATCATATTAGACCCTAAAATTTTACAAAATGAACGGAAGAAAGATTGAGGTGGTGTGGACACTTTCAAAAATATTATGTCATGATTGATTGCATGAGGAGAGGACTAAAAAAAAGTGCAAAATCTAGCTTGTAGGGATGAACAAAAGAACCGAACTGGCTGGAACCGATCCGAACTGAACCGGATCGGGGAACCGGCTTCGGCCAAAATGAAGAACCGAACCGGCCCGGCGATTCTACCGATTCCATTTCCGGGTCCGGTTTTTGCCGGTTTTTCGAGTTTGGAACCGGCTAAATTTTGATATATCCAACGACTAAATTACTTTGCGTTTTATTGGTTTTTCGGGTTCGATTTTTGCCGGTTTTTCGAGTAATTCCAACGACTAAATTATTTTGCGTTTTATTGGTTTTTTATGAAGAAGTAGATGTTTAAATACTAGTAAATAATCAACATTTTAATAAACGATTCAACATTCAAGCAAATTAACCATGGATCTTTTATTTAAATTATTACAAACAAATTAAACATGGATGTCATCAAAGTTATGTTATTAAGTATCCAACATTCAAAATACACTTTCGACATTCAAAATATACTTCCAAGTTTCACCAACAAAAAAAAAAACAAAGTCTAATATGTGGATTCCAACATTTCTTTGACATTTTGACTAATTCTCCGATCTTTTCCCCGTTAGCTTCAAGTTGTGTATAAAATCCACAATGTCTATATATAACACAAAAGAAAAATGTTATTACTTACTAAAATGTAACAAATACTAATAAGAAGTTAAAAATAAGATGTAACAAGTATTAGTGTATTACCGATAGCGAGGTCATCGTCATCTAACACATCGTGCACTTCGTCGTAGTCATATATAGGCAAGCTACTCTTTCTTAGCCAATCTTGAGTGCATATCAATGCCTCCACAATCACAACGGACAAATTAGTACGGTAGTCGGTAATTACTCGACGACCGTTACTGAATGTGGATTCGGATGCTACGGTGGAAATTTGCATCCCCAAAATATCTATTAATAAACAAATTAGTGTATAATACACGATACAAATTTATAAATTAAAAATTTAAATTAGAGTAAAAGAAGGTCGATACCTCTTGCCATTCGAGCAACAATCGGGAACCGCACCGCATTATTTTTCCACCATGTGAGGATATCATATCCTTTGTCAAATCCGATTGGATCCTCGTTTAAGTATCGTTGCAATTGACTTTCTGACGAAGTCGAGGGGAAACTTCCCGAATTCATATAGCTTCCAAAGAATTCGTTTTCGTCATCAAAATTAACAACTTCTTCGGGAGTTTCTTGTTGAGACGATGAGGTCATGTTTGACCTTTCCAAGTATGTCTTGAAAAACTTGTCCAATTTGCATTTGATATCAATAACCTTTGCACGTGCTTTGGATTCTATCTCATCAGCGGACATTTTTTTATCTTTGTTCTTGGCTTTAAGCATTTGGGTAAAAACAACTTTCATAAACTTTGACTTGCATTGAGGATCTAACAATGTCGCAAAGAATACATAATCACTTATAGTATCATAGTCACCCCAATATTTGTCATATTTATCTTTCATATCCGGTACCATAAACATAAAATCCGGGTTGGTTTCATGTTTCCTAAGATGTTGCTCTATATCTAGGATCTCCCGGTATACGTATGGAAGATAGGCTTTGTTGAACTCGAAACTTTTTCAATTTTCTTCTTAAACTTCTCAAGGAACTCCATCATCTTTTTAATCATTTCAAAATCTGAATGTGATGTTACCCTTCCCACAGTTTTCTGAAACATTGGATCTACAAAAAAATAACAACAAAATCAGATTATGTTTTATTGTTGTTAGAAAAAAAAAAACCAGATTTGACACCCTTCCTTTCGGGGCTTGTAACTCATTTAATTTTTAACCAAATCAAGCGTTTTTATAGTCTAAATTCAACTACAAAGCCTAATCTACATGTAGGAAAAAGATTTAGGTCAAAATAAGTTAAATTGAATGAGTTATGCACATTTGAACAACAAAATCAGATCACGTTTTATTGCTGTTAGAAAAAAAAAATCAGATTTGACACCCTTCCTTGCGGGCCTTGTAACTCATTCAATTTTTAACCAAATCAAGCGTTTTTATAGTCTAAACTCAACTACAAATCCTAATATACATGTAGGAAAAAGATTCAGATCAAAACAAGTTAAATTGAATTAGTTATGCACAATTTAAAATTTGGACAGATTGGTAAAGAAGTAAATATTGCTAATTTTAGTGCTTAAATATATTTGATTAATTGATTTTATTTACCTTGATGGCTATATTCGAGAAATGCGTCTTTCAAACCGTATGCTGATCTTAGCAATTCAAAGGTAGAGTTCCACCACGCAAAAACCTTTGACTTTCTACAGCCGCATCCTTCATGGCTTGTTTAAAGGTCTTATCCGTTGCGGGGAGGCTCTAATGTATTTCATCGCATCTTGTAGGTTTTTTACATGATAAAATTCGTGTTTTAACCCCATTTTCACAACTAGGTTTATGATATGAGCCATACACCTAATGTGAAAATGTTTGCCATTCTCGTAAATACCCGGTAGTTCTTTCACAATGATGTTGATTGTCGCGTCATTTGTCTTGGCATTATCAACGGTCATTGTCATGACATTCTTCATCCCCCACTCGTTTATGCAAATTAGCAACTCCCGGCCCATGTCTTCAGCTTTGTGAGTATCAACCTCTCTTAAGTTGACTACCCTTTTGTGCATGACAAAATCTTCGGTAATGAAGTGGGCCGTGACAACCATATAATTTATCTTTTGACACGAGGATGTCCACGTGTCGGTTGTCAAGTGGATGGCTGTTTTGGGGTTGCTCAAATGTTTGTACAACTTCTGCCTCTCCTTTAAATATAATGACACAACATCAAGAGAAATTTTATGCCTTGAAGGCAATTTCACCCTACCATTGAGGGCGTTTACAAATTCTATGAATGCCTCGTTTTCAATGAATATAAATGGTAGTTCCCCGATGGTGAAAAGTCCTAGCAAGGCAAGTTGGATCCTAGTATCATCATGTTTCCATGTGTATACATGACCCTCACCATTAGGAGCTTTCGTAAATGACAACTTTTGTTGTTTGTCATCAACTTGTTTCGGTATGTTGTCTGGATTTAACTTGCACCCATTAAAATGCTTGTTTATTGAAGTTGTCCCATTCCGGTTTGGATTTGCGGCTAGTAAATGTAAACAATAATTACACTTTCTTTCAATTCCATCGTCCTCCTTTATCCATTCGATCTCGAAGTATTTCCAAACAGGAGCGGTACAATTATCTCTACCCTCACCTCGTCTGGTTGGGTTAATCCGATCCCTTAACTCCTTTTGAGTCTTTTTTTTTTGGGTTTTGGTTTTGTTGGGTATTTTTCTTGTGTTCGTTTTTGTGGTGGTGGTGGTTTTTTTTTTGTGTTGGTTTTTTTGCTTGTATTCGTTTTTGTGTGGTTGTAAATTTTCGTTTTTTTGAAGGTTGTTGTTCTTGTGGCTCTTCTTCTTGGTTTGATTCATCACTTGGTATAACATTTCATGCCGGTGTTTCTTCTATATAATCTTCTTCTGAATCTTCCCCATAATCCGATATTTTCAAAATAAAACATATAATAAGTCATATTACGTTTAAATGTTGAAAAATATATATATATATATATATATATATATATATATATATATATATATATAAATCATATTTGACACCCTTCCTTGTGGGGCTTGTAACTCATTCAATTTTTAACAAAATCAAGCGTTTTTATAGTCTAAATTCAAATACAAATCCTAATATACATGTAGGAAAAAGATTCAGGTCAAAACAAGTTAAATTGAATGAGTTATGCACATTTGAACAACAAAATCAGATCATGTTTTATTGTTGTTAGAAAAAAAAATCAGATTTGACACCCTTCCTTGCGGGGCTTGTAACTCATTCAATTTTTTAACCAAATCAAACGTTTTTATAGTCTAAACTCAACTACAAATCCTAATCTACATGTAGGAAAAAGATTCAGGTCAAAACAAGTTAAATTGAACTAGTTATGCACAATTTAATATTTGGACAGATTGCTAAAGAAATAAATATTGCTAATGAGCTAATTGCTAATCTTACTTGGTCATCAAAGTCTTTTCCAATCCAATTATCCGAATTACCATCTTTATATTGGCATCATGAGCATCCGAGTTTTGGTATATTGATGATGGTACATTTGGTAGCCCATCCAAATCCTACATTGTCAATTTTACACATTAATTATATAACAAAAGTACTAAACAAATTTGTAGTTTTAACAATCTTACATAATTACATTCATACTATAAACAATAAACTAATCTAACAAAAATCTTGCATGTATGTCTACAAAGTACATTGTTAAATGGAGCTTAAAACATCAAACATATATTATATGTACAACCTTTCATCCATAAAGGAGTACTCCACTATGTGACTATGATCAAGAATCAAAATCTTTTAATTAAGTAGGGATAACAATGCATATATTTGGAATGGAGACAACAAAAGCAAAGAAAAAAAAACTTGCATGCATGCCATTATTTGGCAAATCATTGAAGCATTGAAGCAAATATTGAAATATATAATCTTGAAACATGAAATATAAATATATGCTCTTACTTGATCTTCAAGAACATCCATAGTTTGAATCATTGAAGCAATTGAAGATGAAAATCAATGAATGATGATAAAGAATTGAAGATCGATTGAAACTTGGAGATGGAAACTTGTAATCGATGGAAACTTGGAGATGAAGAATTGAATGATGATGAAGAGATGTCGATTGCCGATTGATGAAGAGAATAGCCAGTAGGGTTCGTGACTTGGGGAGTTGGGATCGTGGTCGTGAGCGATTTTTTTTTGTTACGTGACAGCTTGCGATTTGTGACTAGATGGGAAGCAGAAGTCCAAGCGACAACAACGTCAACATTTAACATCATGGGGTTTTCTAGCCGGGCCGGTTCCTGGTTTTGGGCCGGTTGCAATAGCCGGTTCTTTCCGGGTCCCGGTTCCAAATAATCACGAATTTATAGTATAGGTCCCGGCCCGACTGGTTCCATCGGGTGCTGGTTCCGATTCCGTGACCGGTTCCGGCCGGTTCCCCGGTCCTTTTGCTCATCCCTACTAGCTTGAGATTAGAAATGAAGGAGTTAGACTATTTTTTAGAACATTACATGATAAAGAGGTATTTTCATGCTTATTACTAGAGTAGTACGAGCCTATATCCCTTCTTACATATCTTATCCGATTGTGTTGTTTGTTCAAATTTATTTTCTAACTAGTTATATATAAGTTTGGGTTGGCCCATTTCGCTAACAAGGTAAAAATAACATTATTGTTTCAATCTAATACATATACTAACTCGCTATTCTAAAAAAACTAATTACATATTTGATGCTTTTGTTTTGAGGTTTATTTTTTGTTACTACTTTCTATTGATATGTTGTATATTAGGGAAGAACATAAGACAGATCTGGTACCGGCTCGAGATTCTCGAATACTGAATTGAGTGGAAAGTTTATACTGAGCACCAAACCGAACAAACATTACTGATATCAGGCATGGTATCATTTTCAATACTAGCACCGGTATCGATGGTACCGAATGGTATCATTTTCAATACTAGCACCGGTATCGATGGTACCGAATCCTGAATTTCATGATTTTAGAGTATCGAGTATCGTCACATATTTAAAAAAATTAGTACCGATTTGGGTGAGGAATTTCAATACCATTGCTCGCCTTGTTGTATATGCTTTATTACAATATATGTTATTGTTTGCATATGCTTTACTTAGCCTATTATAGCTCTATTCCATGATGTATACATGTTTGTTGACATCTACTTCTTTTGGTCAAAAATCGATAAACTAACCAAATTAGTAAATGTGGTATGATGTTTAGAATAAAATGTTAAATTATGAACTACTTTAGATCTTAAGATATATCGAAAGAAGAAAACTATAATATTCGGAAAACTGTTTAATAATGTCGATTTGTTTTGAAATATCAATATCGGGACAAAAATAGTGTAAAAGTCATGAAATATGCAAATTTGTAGAGCAAGTCTTAAGATATTATAAAAAACCAAAATATTACATAATGTCTCGGTATTTTAGTAAGATTTTGAACGTAAAACTAAGTATATAATCAAGTAAATGTGTAAGAATGTTATAATCAATAAAATGATAGTAAGAAAATAAAAATAAATGCAAGAACACAGGGGTGTACCAAGAAAACCCTTAATCCTTTTGGATATCCAGTATAAAATCTCGGAAGGTTATGAAATCTGTAACATCTAGGTTTTGTAATGCTCCAATTTCAAGACATCGGGCTGAAATTTGATTAGGTGAGGTGTTAGGCTTCAAAGGGATAGGGTTTATGCCTTTTCGGATGTTGGTAATGTTGGATTAAGTAACTAAAACCATCGATTTGTACCTTGAAGCAAATGGTAAAATTGGAAAGGTGATATCTTGAGTTTCTTGCATGAATTAAGGATTTTAGTTTGATATGTTTTTAGTCCAAAGTAACTACATAAGGTTGTGGGGCTCTTCAATACCTTTCCATATATATAAAGAACGTCGAAGTTGAAACAAAGAAGTTATGGTCATTTGAAGTTGAATTGGAAGTTGGTACGAGTGTAAGAAAGTTCTTTGTTTCAACTTCGAGTGTAAGAAAGTTACATGGGGCGAAGCTGTTACGCATGGCTTAATCAAATTATGTAGGGCGTAACTTGCTATATGTGGATCGCGTTTCTAATGGGCTACACATGGCGTAATTGCGGCAGATCAAAACCTTGATTCTTTGGTTTTAAGCCCTATTTAAGGGCTCTAACTTATGGGAAACCCTCTCATGACCAGCCTCCATCACCCAAGATCATTCCTTGAGAAAACCTATCCACCTCTTGCTTCTTTTGAGCCTTGGCATCTTTTATGAGCTTATTTCTCCATTAGAAGATTGAATCTTGAAGAACAAGGTGTTTGTAAAGTGCATGAAAGAAGGATTCAAGTATAGATTTAACAAGGTTGCTTCATTTGTGGACCATTATGAGAAAAAAGCTTCTATCTTGCCCATTGATTTCTTGGATCTTGTTATTGGCCATTTTTGTCACTTTTTGGTCGTTTAAGCTTATGTTTGGGAGTTGAGGCAACTCTAGCACCTTTTGAGCTATATGGAACACTCTTGGGATTTATTGGACATGGAAAGTTGTGCTTTGGTGCTTGTTCACCAAGCCATGAAAGTTATGTTAGCCATTTTGGTCATTTAAGTGCATAAAGTTTAGATCTTGAAAGTTTGTAACCTTGTTATTGATAAAATTGGAAACTTTATTCATCTAAATATCATATTGATTCAGATCTGAATGTTGGAGACTTGGACTTTATATATTAAGTTGATAAAGATGTGTTTTTGGTTCCTTTGAGACTTTGTAGATGTCAAATGTTATTGTGAGGTGTCAAAGGTCATGAGTAGTTTCGATAGTTTGTTATTTTATTATAAGGTTAGTTTATGTATCGAAGCTTTTAGTGTTCAGTACCTTATATTTTTTGTGTGCTTTCATGATCCCTATATATATATATATATATATATATATATATATATATATATATATATATATATATATATATATATATATATATATATAGGATTTGTACTAGAGATAGATAAGAACTTTCTTTATTTTTCTGTCTAAACTCTCTGTACTTTTGAAAGCATATTTGATCCAAACCGATATTATTTAGATCTTGTGTTCATCAATCTTACTTTACTCTGATCTCATAATTCATACTCGATTTAATAGCAACTACATTTGGTATCAGAGAAGGATTCATACACGATTGATATGTTTTTCTGAGTTTTTGCGAAAGTTTTGAGTCTCGTTCTAGATTTTAATTTTATGCTCTTTTGTTTTCAGAAATTCAATCTGGATTATCTGTTGTAATTCGATTTTGTGTTCTAGTTGTTAAACCGAGTGTTCGATTGTTGAATTCTGAGTGTTTTAGTTGTTTGATCTCAATTAATTTGAGCTTTTCTCAACATTTTCAGTACATTAATGGTGAACTTCAATTTGAACACTATGACTTCTTACCATCATCTCCTTGGATCATCAACAAAGATACCGATGCTAATTCATGAGTTCTATGATCAGTGGGATGATCAAATGGAGGATTATTTGAACGAAATTGATGAGGAACTTTGGAAGTGTATTCTCGGTGATGTTCGTCCTTATGTTGTAGTTCAGAGTATTGGAACTTCTTCTAACAATCAAAATGTTAATGAACAATCTAAGAGATTGTTGAAGAACGAAAAGTAGTGTATGCGAGAACTCAGAGGTTCTCTTCCTCCAATTGTTTACAATTACATGCGTAGCTGTAAGACTGCAAAAGAGATTCAGGATACTCTAAAGGAAAAGGATCAAGGAAGTGAAAAAGCGAAGATCAGTTCTGTAAAAAAAATCTCTGTTTGAATTAGGAGAATTCAAGCAAAAGGAAGGAGAGACGATTGAATCTTATAATGATCATCT